AGAAGTTGTGGGAGCTTCATCATTTGACACTATCAAGATGAGATTGGACTGCCCTCTGTCAGAAATGGTGTAGGGTCTTCTGCTTGGGCAGGGTGGGAGGTTGGACTGGATGATCTCCGAGGTCCCTTCCAACTCTGTTAATCTGATAAATCTGTTACTGTTACTGTTAATTATGGGTTATGTGCTGGATGAGCAGAATAAGAGAGCTGATCCCGAACCTTTGGATCAAAAAAGATTGGAGAAATTAAAGAAGGCCTTTTCTTAGCACTAACCCAGCCATTGTAAGAGATGACCAGGCTGAGCCCGAGGGAGGGGTCAAAAATGTCATAAGTCACGAGTCCCTGCATGCCCGCCAAAGATCTTTCAGTCCAGCCCTTCTTGAATGCTTTTCTTATCTCCCGCACATTTCCCGTTAGTTGGTCAGATTCTTGTAGAGAGCTTAAGCTTGCAATAAACCTTTATACTCATTTGAACTGCCTGAATCTTCTGGTTTCTCCGGTATTCGACAGCCATCATGTGTTCTGCCCCTAAACTCATTATCCTGGCAACATCCATATTTTCCTTGGAATGAGCTCAGTGTGTGGTTGCTAATTACCTCTGCCTTGGATTTGCCAAGAAAAGTGGAAAATTTACTTTGCCGGAAATGTCTCGGTAGAGAAGCCCAAGACTTGTCAAACACGTGCACAAAGGAAGGTTTCATTTGCAAGAGCTGGTTCTTCTATTCGTAAAACTTTTCTATTCAATGCCCCTCCTCTTTTTATCTCTGAAAAATGTTAAGATTGGCATGAGTAGGAATCATTTTTTTATTGTGATGATTATTATCTTTATTTTGCCAAGCTCTTTGGGGTGATTTGTCATGCACAAACACAGGCAGGCTGAGAGGGGGTTGTGACAGTGACAAAACATTAGGTTTAGCTAAAATGGGTTTCTATTGACAAAACTAAAAATAACGGAAGAGAGGTTGAAGCAAGAATGGGATGAAATAAATGAAAAAAAAGTTGACCTGGTTGATTTGAGGCTTCTTATTGCTAAATTAATCTACCAAAAATGAATGTTTCTGACCTTTTGATGAGGTTTTGAAGGTGTTAAGGATACCTAAACTCTTTTGTGTCATTCAGGAAGAGCTGGTGATGATGATAATAATAAAAATATGGGTATATATTTTAAAATGTTATCAACACTTACACATATTTTTTAATTAATGATTGCTGTTTCAAATTAACTGCAATTTGCTACCTAATCAAGATTAAAACGCCATTATTATGAATTGTATTTCTCTCAGGCAGTATATATGTGTTGTGATTTGTTGGTCAGTTGTTTAAATTCCTGCAGGTTCTTCACCTGTTAAACGATACCAATTTTATAATATCTAAAGAGAAAAAAATGCCTAGATAAATCCCGATATTTCCTGTTAAGAAGAATTAATGACAGATGTTGGTTTCTCGTTTAAAACCCATACCTCGATAAAGTAGAACTTCATACCAATAAAGATGTGGAGTGAAAATTGTAAGCATGTTGTAAAATGCCAAATCTTTACCACTTTAGAAAAGATGCTAGTTATGGATGTTTATTATTATCAGGATCATTTTAACAGATTAACCAAGTTGGAAAGGGACCTTATAGGTTGGTGGTGGCTAACATTTTTGGGCTCCTGTGCCAAAAATTGTGTGTGGGCTTGCATGCACTCGCATGCCAGCACCCAGAAGGCAATGCGCGCAGCCCCTGCATGCCCCCTGCGCATGCACACGCAATTCCCTGCCACCGCTGCTGCCCTCTTATCTGCACTGCACCTTCCAGCTGATTTTCGGCCCATTTGAGGCTTTTTCGGCCTGCCAGAGGCTTGAGGGAAGCTTTTGCAGGCTTTGCAGGCCAAAAAATGGGCCCGTTTCATCACTTCGGGTATTTCCGGAAATACAGGAAGTGACAAAACGGCCCTATTTTTCATCCTGCAAAGCCTGCAGAGGCTTCCCTCAAACCTCTGGCAGGCCAAAAAAGGCCTGAAAATCAGCTGGGAGGTGCACCCATGCGGAGTGAGGTAAGTTTGCCTGGGGCTCGCGTGGCCACACAAATGGCTCTGCGTGCCACCTGTGGCACACATGCCATGGGTTCGCCTTCACAGTTATAGGTCATCTAGTCCAACCCACTGCTCAAGCACCCTTTCTGACAGATGGCAGTCCAGTCTCTTTCTTGAAAGTTTCCAGTGATGAAGCTCCCACAACTTCTGAAGGCAAAGATTTTAAGCCTTAGTAAAAAGAATAATTTTTAAAAAAACTTTTCTTTTCTGAGTAATAGGCTTTTACTTCAACTGAATGGATCTGTGGCAATTTGCCTCAGCCAATTTGCCGCAGCCGACTCGTTGCGGCCTACTTGCCATGGCCAACTCAAGCAGGACTGAGGGGTCTTTGGTGCTGTCTGAGCTTGCTTGTTTTCTTGCAGACATTTCATTACCCAACTAGGTAACATCATCAGTGCTAGTAAGAAGTGCTGTTTGCTTTCAGATTTATATTCCGGTGTCTTGCCTGCTCATGGGGGTGGTCTTAGGGATTCTTTGGTTGGCCCGTTTACTGATGGCTGTTCCATAGTTTCATGATTGGGGTTTTGCTTACTTGGTTGTTGGTCTGAAGTTAACCTTGGAGTTAATCTATGCTGATCTAGATGCCGATTGTTGATGGGGAGGTGCAGAGTTTTTCTGTTCCCTTTTGGGCTGGTTGATTGTTCCCTTTTACATAGTGTATAGAGGTTGTCATGCCCCTGTTGGAATCTGATTCTGAGGGGGAGGTCGAGTAGCTGACAGGGAGTGGGGAGTGTGGCTCTGGTGGCTGTGGAAGAAACTGAGGAAGAGCACAGTCCGGTTGGGCCTTCAGAGGAAGACTCAGGGCCACCTCTTCATCCTAGCACACGCAGGGAGGAATGGAGAAGGGAGCAACGTGAGTTACATGGGTTACGGGGGAGAAAAGGGCCCTGATTCCCTTCATTAGCTGCAGCTGGGAAAACAGGATTTAAAAAGGGTGTTTGCAAATAGCACCTTGCTGGAAGCAAAGCACGAATTATCTTTGTTTGTTAAGTCTTATCTGGGTTCCTGCATCCTCCCAACTGTGTGTGTTACGTTATCTTTTGAAGTCTGCAATTCCTTATCCTGCCCTGTCTCGTTAATTGCTGCAGCATGGTTTGTGTGGATTTTTATTTACAATCTGTATGTACTTTGGGTTCAGACTGAATTTCTTCCCTTTAAAAACTGTTCTTGGGAGAGTTTTTTCTCCAGCCGATGATAACTGGATATTGGAGGCCAAGTTGGAGGAATTAAAGGGACTTTACCTACTTTTGTGACTTTGTTGCTTTTGTGCCACGCCCCAGGTCATCACAGATGTTGTTAATGTCTATGTATCTATTGATGGCTGATTTGTCAGAATGCCAGGCTTCTAGAAGCTCCCTGGCGATTTTGGACTTGGCCTGGTTAGGATAGTCACATTGTCCCAACTGAAATTGTGGTTAAATCTGTCCCTATGTTGTGAAATTAAAGTATTTTCGTCATGCCTTCTGACTGTCAGCTGATGTTCATGGATGCGTTCAGCCAGTCGCCTGTTTGTCTTACAACTGCAGTGGTTGTTGCAGTTTGTCCACATCTGGGGTGTCAAACTCAAGGCCCATGGGTGCTTAGATCTGCAGGACCACCTAGAAACAGCAAAGGACCCACCCACAGTGTCACTGGTGGCAAAAGTGGAGCTTGGGAAGGCCATCGCAGGAGGCCATCGCAGCCAAAAACAGAGCTCAGGAGGGCCGTTTACGCTGGCAGAGGGTTGCAGGAAGCTGTCGCAGCCAAACTGTTGTAACTGGAGGACTACGTCTACTGTGGTATTCATTTTCAGTTGCAACTTGCTTTGGAAAAGGTATTAAATTTAAAGGGCATCCAGTTTTGGTCACCGCTATATAACAATGATGTTTCAGACTCTAGAAAGAGTGCAGGGAAGAGCAACAAAGATTAGGGTTAGGGTGCTGGAGGCTAAAACATATGAAGAACGGTTGCAAGAACTGGACTGTGTCTAGTCTTAATAAAAAGAAGGACTAGGGGTGACATGATAGCAGCTTTCCAGTATCTCAGGGACTCTGCCACAAAGGAGAGGGAGTCCAGCTATTCTCCAAAGCACCTGAAGACAAGACAAGAAGCAATGGGTGGAAATTAATCAAGGAGAGAAGCAACCTAGATCTAAGGAGAAATTTCCTGACTGTGAGAACAATGAATCGGTGGAGCAACTTGTCTCCAGAAGTTGTCGGTCCTCCAACACTGGAAGTTTTTTTTGCCTTTTATAATAATGTTTTTTTTATTTTTAATATATAATAATTCAGTCTTCAGCTGAACAGTGTGTTGTCTGGGTACAAGTATCTTTGTTGAACAGTAATCAAAATTTGCAACATCATTCATTACATTGATGCTAATTCTACAATATTAAAGTAGTAATATTCAACATACTAATCATAATATTTGCTTATCTCTTTTAATATACCTTCTTTATTTTGCTTTCCTTCCAACACTAGAAGTTTTTAAGAGGAGATTGGATAACCATTTGCCTGAAATGATGTAGGGTTTCCTGCCTAAGCAGGGGGTTGGACTAGAAGACCTCCAAGGTCCCTTCCAACTCTGCTATTCTATTTTATTCTACTCTACTCTACTCTACTCTACTCTACCCTACCCTACCCTACCCTACCCTACCCTACCCTACCCTATTCTATTCTATTCTATTCTATTCTATTCTATTCTATTCTATTCTATCCTATCCTATTCTATCCTATTCTATTCTAATATTCTCTTATTCTATTTTACTCTATTCTACTCTATTCTACTCTACTCTAATATTCTCTTTAGTCTAGTCTAGTCTAATATTCTATTCCATTCCATTCCATTCCACTCATCTGTTCTGTTCTATTCTATTCTATTCTAATTTAGGATTTCACATTCTCGAAGCAAAACGCATTCACCCCGTCTTTTGTTTTCTGCATTACAGACGTGTTGGTGGAAGGAAAACCCTGTGACTCGGACATTGTAGCAGATTGCACCGTCGGGGATCCAGTGAAGCTGGAAGTGAAACTGACCAATTGGAGCAAGCACAATGTCGGACCCTTCTCCCTCACTGTGATCCCCTACCAAGATTATCAAAACGGCGTCCACAATTACGATCTTCAAGATGGCATCACTTTTGTTGGCTCCAACACCTTTTATATTGATACCGTAAGTAGTCCGTAGTCGATCGTATTTATTCTTCCTCCAGAGTGAAAACGTTAAAGAAAGGAACATCCAGTGGTGTTCTGTGCTGTTTTATTCAACAATTTCCTTGAAAGGACTTTGGAATGCTTCACCTTTCACTGTTAAAAAAAAAAAAAGCATGGATTTGTCTATTTGCTTTCTTATTTACATTTTTTAAAGTTTTCCCTCTACTGTGTATAACACCAGAGTGTTTAACATTACCAATAAAAATAATGAAGGATTCCAAGTAATATACTCATAGCAAACCAAACTCTGTAGATCCCTCAAAAATAAGCTTTATTGGAGATACCATATTGGCACATATCTGGAGAACACCGACTCTAAAGGTTCCCACGACTTTCACCTTGTTGAAAGAGATAACCCCAAACAATTAGTCACATTGTCCAATTAAGACGCTGTCTGGTCGACTGGTGACCTCACTCCTTCCACCATCCAGGTGGGGAATGTCCTTGGTTCTCAAGAGAAAGTATTTTGCTTTGGCTACACAAACCCCTTTAATCTCCCTTCTCCCTTTCTCTCAACTCCAGTGTGGCAACACTGAAGCTTCAAAATGGCCCTGGTCAGGTCAGCTTCAGGGTTGACATCATAAAACAAAACGAAATCAATACGCTAAATATATAAGATAGGGTAAATATTCTTTCCCATAGGTAAAATGGGCTCCCAATTTGGTAAATTAATTGAGTCTCTTCCTTGACAAGCATGTGGAACTATATGGTTGTGCTTTGCAGGATGGGTGCCTTTAAAATCGTACGAAATTTGCAACCATGGTGCCCTCTGAAGTTGGTTATTTTCTTGCAGACGTTTCATTACCAAACTAGGTAACGTCATCAGTGCACTGCGGGGTCCTTGGTGCTCTCTGAGTTTGGTAATGAGACGTCTCCAAAACAACCAAACTCAGAGAGCACCGAGGACCCCACCATTCAAACCCAAAGATTTTCTTCTATCCGTTTGCAACAAAGAGGCTAATTTGACCACCACTGATCAACAGATTCAGCAGAGGCCCATTCTTGAAGTCTCTTCATCTTCTAAACCAGGAACCTTTATCCCCCTTTTAATGCTAGGCTGGAGAGACCGAGCACACATCCGTGTGGTTCCTAAATTTTGCATTGTCTGACTCTGCTCAAATTCTCCCATCCTTTTCTTTCAGGTTAAGCCGACAGAAAACTCGATGTGTGTTGGCGCTCTTCTTTTTCTCTGCACAGGTGACTTTTACTTGAACATCAAGTTCCACGAAGGCAACTCGAACAAGGAGTTTCCCCCTTCCTGGTTATGCCTGCCCAGTGTTCACATCCGAGCGGTGCACTCTGTGATCCAGACCAAGTTGTAAATACAAGTGCATTGCCCTGGGGTTCACCTCTCTCTCTCTCTCTTGCTTTCTACTTCAAGTTTTCCACATGCCTTAGAGAGACTGGTTTAAGTAACTCCCTGCAAGTAGCTAACCGTAACCGGACAATAATCGCTTTTGCTCGTTTAAGAAGAGGCAACATTATATACCGAGGAACTGGATTTTCTTCATTCACAATGGTTTACAGGATTATCTCTTTTTTAGAAATATGTTTCATTTATTAAGTTATACGTAACACTGGACTGTATCCACTGATTTCTGAAATAATCCTCAAATTAATTGCTTGTCTGCTTGGATGTTGTCTATAAAGTTATAAGTCATGACCTACACTTCTAAATTTTTCTTCTCTGTTCACTTGAGCTTTCTGTATTCTTTTAAACTTCTAAAAGAAATCTTCTAAATTCTTTATAAACTGTATAAGAGATGCAAGTCTTCTTTTTTCCTTCTCTGGCCAAGTCAATTCAACTCTCAGAATTGGATTTAAGTACAGTTCTTGAAATCCCTTAATACATATATATATATATATTTCATGCTTTGCCGAAAATAAGACCCTGTCTTATTTTTCTGCCACCAAAAAAAGGGACCAGGTCTTATTTTGGGGGGATGTCATCCACTGACTAACCTCACTTGCGCACGTCACCCCCAGCCTTTTTTTCGCTGTCAGAAGCCTACAGGAGCTACTACTTTTGCAGCTGGCCTTGCCTGAAGGCCTCTGCAGCCTATAACAGAGCTCTGGATCGATCCACAATCCTTTGTAATTGGCTACAGAGGCCTTCAGGAAAGCCTTGCCAGACTTGCCAGCTGCAGAAAATATGGGCCGGCCAGACAGGAGTCAAGGTGTATGAGGCCTGGCTACAACTGTCCAAAGGTAAGTAGTAGGGCATCTCCAACTCCCCCATCCTCACCCTATCTTAATGTTTACCTGTGCACTCTGGAGTGGGTGGGATCTTAATTAGGGCTTATTTTGGAGGTAGGGCTTATATTGGGCACACATGTAAAAATCAAGCTAGGACTTACTTTTAGGGTAGGTCGGATTTTCAGGGAAACGGTATATTTTTGAAAAGTAGTCCAGACTTAAAACTCTTGTGGCAAAATATAATTTGGTAGGTCCAGCAACTTGTCAAATCTCTGTTCTGGCTGTGCCACTTTTGAACCTCTTTGAGTTTTCAGCCTTTGAACATGTACCCAAGAGACCATTTTTCAACTTTTCGGCTGAATTTCAGAAGCATTTGGCACAGATAAGTGTTGTTTGTTGAATGAAATGATTCTCAAACTAAGTATAATTTAAAAAAAAAAACACCTGAGTGTGGGGCAAGAAATGCAGAATGGATGGTCTGGAAGAAGACTCGGCAGAGCTTCAAATATGTGTATTCCTTCCCCTTTTCTCTGCTTCTTTGGTGGACAGTCAAGCAATCAACTGAACTAGTTTGCTTTTGATTTAGGCAATGACATTTGCCCGCCGGGAATGCATAGATGGTAGCTAGAAGGAGTGGCTTGCCAAGGAAATGAATTTCAAAGAATTACAGCCCATTCCTGATCCTTTTAGCTGCTATTGGTTACCTTTGCTACGAACTCTCATTTGCAAAAGCTTTCATGGGATCGTGGTTTGCCCCATGGATTCTTAGAGGAGTGATTATCATTCGTTTGGCAGGGTTCATACCAGCCAACCACTGCTTCTAACCAAAAGATTTGAACCTTGAGACCTTCTTTCTAATGGAGCATGGTGTATATTTCAGTGATCTGGTGGTTCTTCTAGCTCAGGGGTCTCCAAACTTGGCAACTTTAAGACTTGTGGACTTCAACTCCCAGAATTCCCCAGACAGCATGACTGGCTGAGGAATTGTGGAAGTTGATGTCCACAAGTCCTAAAGTTGCCCAGTTTGGAGACCCCTGTTCTAGCTCCTTTTGAAGAACACAAAACATCCATTTCTTAAGAAGTTGCTTCTATCCAACCTCCGCAAAAGGGATTCATTCAGATCTTCCCTTCTTCCCTTTTTCTTTGGCTGAAGACATCATTTAATTTTTGTTTTGTTTTGTTTTGATTTTTGCAAAGAAATCAACATCGTATTTCGACAGTACGGGCTAATGGGATTGTATGATAAATTTGCACTGGCTTCTAAGGGTATTGATCTAGGCCAGGTTTATTATTATTCTTTTTAAAGTACAGAAGTCAATCTGTGGCAATAGAGCAAAAAAAAAAAAAAGCAAGATTAAAAGCTTGCAGTCAGTCACCTGAATGATGCTTACTTAAGGGATATCTTTCTCCCGCTCTTTCTTTGCTTAGTGCAAATTTGCTTCGTATCATCCAATATTAAATAGCTGTCGGTCTCAGGAAGCCACGGAGCAGAAATCCTGATTCTGCATTCTCCTTGGTGAAGAGGATATTATATTAGGCATCTTTCGTCCCCTTTTAGCAAGAGATGCTTATCCTATTTCACTTGGCAGGCCTCTCTTTGCTGAGAATCGGGGTTCACAAATGTGGAATGGAATGTGCCCCCATTCAAAATCTTCTATCTGTAATCTCTATATTTTGATTGGATTGCATGTAGCGTTTATTTATTCTTTTAATAAGAAAAATCAACCTGTATTCCATTTCCACACTGGGAGGAGGGAAAATATCTGCATTTCACTTTATTTCTTCTCTAACCCAGCTGAACGCTATAGTTGTACTGATGATCCGATAACAGAGACATTCAACTCCCTTTTATAAAATCCCTGGATTTCTTCTACCCAGGCCTTAAAAGACTTGTGCTTACCAAAGGTGATATTTAGCCGGTTCACACCGGTTCTGGCATACCGGTTACAGAAATTTTGAGTAGTTCAGAGAACCAGCAAATACCACCTTTGGCTGGCCTGCCCTCCCGCCCCTGACTTTGCTACTGTTGTGGTTCGCCAGCAGCCTGTGCAGACAGCAATGGAATCGGACAGTGGGGAAGAAAGGGGACCAGTCCGGGAGTCTGGAGAGGACTCGGATGAGGGTCCTGCGTCCGATGCAGAGATGGGGCCAGGACCATCTGGGAGTGGGGTGCTGCCTTCGGAGTCTGGCAGCAGCGAGGCAGAGGACCCAGGGGAGCCTCTTCCCAGTGTGTGTGTGTGTGTGTGCAGAGCTTCTAGAAGGTGAGAGCAGCTGAAGCAAAAGGGGCGCCTCGGGAGTAAGGGTGGGAGGTGAATGCCCCTCCCATAAGGTATAAAGGACAGGCAAAGATGATGAAATCTTTGCAGGAAGCAAAGTCATTTGTTCGGTTCAGATTCATTCTTGAAGCTCTTTGTACTTCGGTTGGGTTTTTTTCTAGTTCATTTGACACTTCGATTATTGGCAGCACTTCACAGGAAAGAAAGGTGGGTGCTTATCTTGAGGAACCGTTTGAGATTAATTACCGGCTGGGAATGAAACTAATTCCTAGCTTTGTAATAAAACAAGTCTTGTTTTTAAAATAAGTGTTGTGTGTAATTACGGTCTCAGAAGCCTTTGTCAGAACACCTATATTCCCTTGTTTTTTAGCTCAGCTGATTCGCACAGCAGAGTGGATTGCCATGCCTCAGCTGAGCTAAGAAACAGCTCAGCTCATCAGCATTGACACAGAAGGTGGCCTTTGAGCCCTGCGTGCGCGAACCATTAGGAAAAAAAATTGGAAACCCACCACTGGTGCTTTCCCTTCAGCAGAGCATTACCAAAAGAGTTAAAAATCCTTGTAGCAGGTTTGTTCAACCAGTTACCTGCGGCTGCTACCTTTATTGCTTGCTTTGGATGGGCAGTCAGTCCTGCTAACCACCAATACCATTTCCAAACGAGCAGATAAATTTCCACGTTGTCTATTGTGGTTAGCTGGCAGCAGGTGCGGATGGCTGAGGAGAGCAAGGACTCAGATGAGGGACCAGGACCATTAGGGAGTGGACTGCTGTTTTCAGAGATTGTGGGGGCTGGCAGCAGCGATGAAGAGGTTCCCGAGGAGCCTGTGCCAAGTGCTCGTATGCGCAGGGCTGCTCGTAGGAAAGAACAGCTGCAGCAGCACGGGCAACTCAGGAGTAAGGCTACAAGGTAATGGTCCCTCCTTCAAGAAGATAAAAGCCAGCTGTGAATCAGATGTTCTTTGTAGGAAGCAAAAACGTTTTGAAACTCAACCTCGTGGACATTGCAGTATCTTGGTTGCTATTTGAAGACTCTTGTGTTGTGAAATATTTCTTATCTGTGATTCTTGGCAGCCTCGCACAGTTTTGGCAAGGCTTGTGTTTATCAGAGTTAATTAGTTTGCAGCAGCCTTTTAACTGGGGATTCGAAAAAATCATTAAAAGGTTTCTGTTCCCTTTTGGTTCGTGTTTGTTTTATTGGAAAACTTGCTCCTTCCTTGGTGAGCTCTCCTCTTCCGCCTCACAGTCAATTTAGACACCGTTTGTCAGTAAAACCTCTTTAATAATAAATATCACTCCACGCAGAGTGACCTTCCAGAGTGGCTCCGTTCTAGGAATGCAGCCTCTCCATCTCTTCTTGCTCACTTCAATTATTGCCTGGTTTGGTGTTTGCCCATTGCGTCAAATCCGAAGAAGAGACAGACTCTTATTTCTAATACTTCAAGAATCCTGAAAAGCGATACGCTTCTACTTCGAGATAAATTTCCTAATGTAGTAATAATGAGTTCACTGAGGTGTTACACATTCACAGGGAGGTATATTCCACAGAGAGTTGTAAGCCCACCTCTGTTTTATTTCCTTACCTTTTACACATTCAACTCTTTAATATATTATAATTCCACTGGAGTTTCCTGCAGGGAGCGCATTTAAAAGATAGCATCTCGGTGTATGTATGTGTAAGTTATTCTTCTCTCCCAGAAAATGTGGTTGGTTTCATTATCTCCTAATGTGGTATGTAATGGGTCACGCTTTCGCTTGTAAATCTGAGGTGACACCATTCAATGAGCCCTTCCTTGTTTTAAAATCTGTTACAAACTCAGTTCAGAATTCGGCCTGTTCTGGGTGTGCTCGTGGCAAATTGAATCCATAAATTATTTGAACTTGTCAAATAAATAGCTTTCAAGGCTTTTCTTATCCAACTGCCGGACTGTCTTTATTTTTGTTTGGGATTTTTTTTATCCTGTCTAATTACACGTTCCTTTAGTAGCAGATAGAATCTGGAACAGAAAGGAAGCCTTTCAGATTCTCTCCCTCCATCAGGTAATATAATCTAAACTTTTTTAAAAAAAATTACAAGGTTTCTTGAAATAAAACATGAGTCAAGGAAAACCCTCCCTAGAGAACATATCTGCGGCTCTGCTCTGCCATCGTGAATTTAAAATTGTGTCAGAGGCACAATTGAGCACACATTCATTGGGAGGCTCGGATTGTGATTTTTTTCTTTACAATGTCTGAAATTAAAGAATGGGTATCATTTATCAGCTGTCGCCAAGGATTAACATTTGCCAATCACACCGTCTCTGAGACCTAGTTTTGTCTCTTGGATCTCAGTCCTTCCGTACTTTTCTCTTTGTTGGGGAAATTCCCAAGACCCTTGAAACATTGGTGCAAAATAGGATGGTTGAAACGCAGTCCCAGATTGGAAA